ATGACTGAGTCAGAGTTGCTAGAGTATCAGTTGTTCCTCAAGAAGTTAGAGAGCAGTAGTTTGGGTCATGTGGTGACTGTTGCTCCTGCTCCATCAGACAGACGTAGCTCGTACCTTAAACACAATCGCTCTAAAGTGGGTGTGGAGAATGTCACTGCTATGATGACATCAACGAGTAGTCTTAACGAGGAATCAAGACCGTCTTCCTCCAGTGGTAGTTTGACTGGTGCGAGCAAGAAGGAGCCAATCAGAATGGTCCGAGTTTTACCGGTCAATTACCCAGGAAAAGGCAGAGGAGCTGTTATTGTGAAGAGTGGAGGTGATAATAATAATGATGATAGTGAGAAGAAAATGGAGACAGAGAAGGAAAAGAATGATGACGTAGCAGAACATTCAAATGACATTAGTAAAGTTGGTGATCTGATTATTGAAGAGACTGATGAATGGATACCACCAACTGATGAGCAAGGACCACTCCCTCCCTCTCTCTCTCCCTCTGTCCCCATCACCTCTCATCATAAGGAAGACATTGTGATTGAAGAATGTGATGATGAAGAAGATTTATCAATTACTGATAGTGGGATTAATGGTTACCAGTCTGAACCTCAGTCTTCGTCGAGAAGGAATGAGTCTCAGTCTTCCAGGAACAAGTCTCAGTCCAAGAGGAATGGGTCTTGGTCTAAGAAGAATGGATCTGCATCTAAGAAAAAGGGGTCTACATTTAATAGGAATGGGTCTGAGACTACCAGGAATGGGTCTGAGCCTAACAGGAATGAGTCTCAGCGTGAAAGGAGTGATGAGTTTCGAAAAACTGTTAATCTTTCTTCAGTTTCAAGTGAATTGACGTTAGTCGACATATCAGAAGAGAAAGAGGAAGAGGAGGAAGAGAACTTTAAGGATTCTCCTCAAGCAATGGAGAGGGACACGAGTGAGAATATTGATAATAAGGAACTGGATGAAATGGAAAGAGGAGAGGGGGAGCAGGAGGAGGAGAATAGAGTTGAAGGTGTTCCTGAGATGCCATTACTGAGAGTGAAATCAACTACAAGTCTTTATGTACCAGGTGAGGAAGAGAGAGAGAGAGAGAGAGAGAGAGAGAGAAGGAAAGAGGGTGAAAATACATGTACATGTACATGTACATGCACAATGTAAATGTACATTATTACATGTAATGTACATGTACATGTATGTACACGTACATTGTATAATGAATTGTGTTATTATGTTCATTAGATTATGAGTATCAGAGTAAGAGGAAGAGAGCCACTCCTTCATATGCTGCTCATTGCATTAACAGTTCAACTGCTCTTGGACCACCTTGTCCTCTGTATGGGGTCACACAACCAACTGAAGCTGAAAGTGAGATTTACATGTACATTGTACATCTATTAACAGTTAATACAAAAATACATATACAATATACATAATACATGTTATATGTATGAGTGTCTGAGTTAAAAATAGACAGATAAATAATAGAACATAATAGTATACAGTATTTGTGTACATGTAGTTTAGTAAACCCTCCCATCTGAGAGAGCTTGCTCATGAGATCGGAAGGAGTGACAGGGATGATGGTAGGATGAACGAGCACCTCTGAGACACATAATGGAGCTCCTTAAAAGAGAAAATGAAAGGCGGCATCAGTTAATACATGTACATGTACGTACATGTACATGTGACTTTCTTTATGATACAAGCCCTAGAGACTCACAAATTATACATGTACCTGTACATGTAGTATGCATTTAAACATACTGTAGCTGTTCATATTCATTTAACAGAATGAAAATAAAATGTCACCAATTACATGTACATGTGATATTCCATTTGTCTTTTAGTTGCTAAGATGTCACTGAAGCAGTTAAGGTCTCCAGTGAAGAGGAATAGCATTGACAAAGAAAACTCGTCTTTTTTGGAAAAGAGGAAGACTAGAGATGAGAGAGCTGCTCAAGGAAGAGAGAGAAAAGAGACATATCCACTTCACTCTCATCATCTTCATCTCTCTCCTCACTCTCTCCCTCCCTTCAATATTATAACAGGGAGATTGAAACTGACCTCTCACTGCATAAAGGAGCAAGGTACATGTACATGTACATGCAGTACTGTTATTATTTAGGACCAAGTCTTACTGGTGAAGCACATACATGTACATGTACATATA